ACAGCTAAATTGAGGAAGTGTGGTCTGGATGATCGGGTAGTGAGGTGGACTGTGAACTGGCTGAAGGAAAGAAGCCAGAGAGTTGTAGTCTATGGGGTGAAGTCTAGTTGGAGGCCTGTATCTAGTGGAGTGCCTCAAGGGTCGGTACTGGGACCAGTATTATTTAATATATTCATCAATGATTTAGATGAGGGAATTGAGTGTACTGTCAGCAAGTTTGCTGATGACACTAAGCTGTGAGGAGTGGCTGACACGCCAGAAGGCTGTGCTGCCATTCAGCGAGACCTGGACAGGCTGGAGGGTTGGGCAGGGAGTAACTTGATGAAATATAACAAGGGAAAGTGTAGAGTCCTGCATCTGGGCAGGAACAACCCCAGGTTCCAGTATAGATTGAGGAACGACCTGTTAGAGAGCAGTGCAGGGGAGAGGGACCTGGGGGTCCTGGTGGACGACAGGGTGACCATGAGCCAACACTGTGCCCTTGTGGCCAAGAAGGCCAATGGCATCCTAGGGTGTATTAGAAGGGGGGTGGTTAGTAGGTCGAGAGAGGTCCTCCTTCCCCTCTACTCTGTGCTGGTGAGACCTCATCTGGAATATTGTGTCCAGTTCTGGGCCCCTCAGTTCAAGAAGGACAGGGACCTGCTGGAGAGAGTCCAGCGCAGGGCAACTAAGATGATTAAGGGAGTAGAGGATCTCCCTTATGAGGAAGGACTTAGAGAGCTGGGTCTCTATAGTTTGGAGAAGAGGAGACTGAGGGGTGACCTTATTAGTGTATATAAATATATAAAGGAGGAGTGTCACGAGGATGGAGCCAGGCTCTTCTCAGTGGCAAACAATGATAGAACAAGGGGTAATGGGTACAAACTGGCACACAAGAGGTTCCACTTAAACTTCAGAAGAAACTTCTTCTCAGTGAGGGTGACAGAACACTGGAACAGGCTGCCCAGGGAGGTTGTGGAGTCTCCTTCTCCGGAGACAATTCAAAACCCGCCTGGACACGTTCCTGTGTAACCTTATCTAGGTGTTCCTGCTCCGGCAGGGGGATTGGACTAGATGATCTTTTGAGGTCCCTTCCAATCTCTAGCATACTGTGATACTGTGATACTCAAACCATGACACGCTCCCATCTCAGGACAAGAGCATTCACTTTCAGTACCCAGATCCAGATATGAACTTGTACGGTAACAGTTCTCCCAGCTTGTCATATCCTTACTGTAACATAAACTTTTTCAAAAATTCGCTATGATGGCACTTGAGGTGCCTCTTAGTTTTGAATTTTTAATAATTGAATTACTTCATGTAGCCTTTCTTTATGTGTCATTCCGGGTGGATTTGTGAGGAACAAAATGACATTACACCAGCCTAATCTCCTCTGAAAAGGTCACAAAGCCAAGTGGCTAAAGCAGAAGCAATCAATGCCAAATATCAAGACTGTGGTAAAGGTTTTGATTCTGTTTCTGCTTATTTCCTGTAGGCACAGTAAAGATGTGTACAGTAGATGGGTTTCTTGTACATATTTTACAAGAACCATTTTCAGGCTGCATCCAGAGAATAGTTTTTGTGGCCACCTTGTCCTGTTGTATAGAATGTATGCAAGGTGTGCCTGGTCTTAGGCACTGTACCGTTAATGATCCAAATGATCTAATTGTACTGGGTATGGCTGGAATGGAGTTAACTTTCTTCCTAGCTGCCCCATACCCTGATGTGTTTTGGATTTGTGACTACAACAGTTAACGGCGCACCAGTGTTTTGGTTGATGAGCTGGACTTTCACAGTAACAAGGCCTCTTTCTCCCAGTCTGGGTGGCTGGCAGTCAAGTCTAAGGTAGGAAAGAGGCTGGGAGGGGACAGCCGACCCAGGCTAACCAAGGGGATATTCCCTGCCCTGCAACATCATGCTCAGCAATAACTGAAGGGAGGGTTTTGTAGAGGGTGGTGAGCATTGCTTAGAGACTGTGTGGGCATTGGTCTGCTTGTGGGAGGTGGTGAGTGACTGCCTTTGCATTACTTGTTGGTTGGGTTTCTTTTTCTTCTTCAGCTATTAAACAGTTTTTGTCTTGACTCGCAGGTTTTCTGTCTTGCTCTTCCTGTTCTCTTCCCCATTCCTCTGGGGTGGGGAGTGAGCAAGTGGCTGGGAGGTGCTCAGGTGCTGATCAGTGTCAACCACCACAGTAATAGAGAACTAGATTATGAAATTAGCAGAAAACACAAAGTTTGGCAATATTAAAAGTGTGCCTGGATACAGTTTGTGTCTTCGTGGCAGCTGGAGATGGATTATATAGTTTCTTTTAGCACTGTGAAATTTCCTTAGATAAATAAGACTTTAATGACATGAAGAATTATGTCTCCTCCCTCAGCTATCCTAGGCTATAAAGAGCTGTCTTAGTTAACACTCAGCTGCACTGTCTGCTTTTGCTGTGGGTGAAGAGCGTATTCAGATGATGCCAGTGGCTTAGCTGACATCTGGTAACTTTGTCTGTTTCAGACTCTGCCTGTTGGGTCTCACTGCCTCCCTGCATTCATCTCATGCTAAGAGATACCCCTGATATTTGAGCAGTCCCAAAGGAAAAAAATAATCCATTACCACTGTGGGCTTCATTCAGTTAAAATTGACATAGCTCTCCTGATGTGGCTGGATGAGAAGCTGACCCATTCTCTTTAACATCTCCCACCTGTCTTGAGGAGTAACACACCACAGTGCTGCAGCAGTGCAGTGTTTCCGGGGTGCTATTTCACTCATGCAACTGCAGGGGATCTTTAATTCAGCATGAGTTTTATAACTGTTAGCTGCAGATATGGCAATTTCCTTTGCAGATTAAGGAAAATGCCATAACATAAATGAATGACTGGGTGTCACTGCTGTGTTGTGACAGGCTGTCCTCTAAGAAGTAGTGATTGATGACGTGTATAAAACCGAGCCATTATATGTGCTGTTTATATTGAAACAGTGCTTAAACTGTGGGCTGTCAGTCAAAGCACTGATTACTTACACAGTGTTGTAATCAGCGGTGGTGGGTGCAGTGAGCAAGGTACCAGAGTAAATGTTTGTTTTGGAGTTATGAACAGCATTGTCTCTTTTATTTCCAGCCTGCATCTAGCCATAATGAAAGGATCTATCCTATACATTGCCTAAAGCATGAGACGTCACTGTAGGCTGCTAGGAGCTCTTTGATACTGTCATCAATATTAAAACTAGTTTCAGAAACAGGCTGGTAACCTTTTCTTCTTCCCTGTGAGCACAGTTTCAGCAAACCTCAGTGCTCTGTGGCAGCACTTTTGATGGCTGCAGAAGCCTCCAAAGGTCTCATCTCAGCCCCCCACTTCTCTGTGCTTTGCAGAGTATTCGAGGACCCCCCTCAATAGTTTTCGCTAAGTGCTGTGAATGCAGTAGATGCCTCACAGTGAAGACACAGGACTTGGTCCTGGGTGGTATTACTGCCCTGTTTTCGGCAAATCCTAGGACAAATTACTCCCCATGCTTGTGTCCACATCTGTGGTATGGAGGTGATGGGATGAACTCGTCACTCTGTAGATGAGTAGAAGGGAAAACTGCCCAGCTGAGCACTGATGTTTCTGCATGTCCTGAAGCATTGCAGGTGGGTTAGAGAAGGGCCTGCAGGGCCCTCCTTCAGAGCCATCTTCCTTTCCTGCTGTATCCCCCATTTGTAGGCTTGCAGGACAGTGTAAGCACGAGCAATGAGCATCTTAGCACTGCTGCAAAGCATGGATGTGCTATGTGGCCTGACATGAGCTTGGCATGACTGACAGAGAGGCAGTGGGAACTTTATCTGGTCTCATACCTCTTTGTAGTGTGCATATTGGGTGGAAAACACCTGGCTAGTGTGCCTGTGGTGGTGCTGACAGGACACCAAAATGTGTGGGGTTTGCAATGAAACAACAAAAAAGGACTTGCTTTTTTCCTCTCTTCTGCATATTAAGTGGAAAGAGAAGAAAGAATGTTCCATTCACAATTACAGAGAATAGTCAAAACAATTAATTTTTCCTTCTTTGCATTTGCTAAGACCATTAAGGTTTGTCACATTCGTGACAGTTCCACCTATGTGCTTGTAAGCTGCATCCTAGTACAGATAGTTTGCATGTGCCAAGAAAACAGTCTTTAAGCACACACATCACTTACATGCGAAAAGCTTTTCCTTTTTATGCTTATGATTAGCCCAAAAATCAGATGTCAGTGACAACCATTGTAGTGGTAGCACCCGCATAATTGTGTTTTGATATGTCATTGATTGTAAGAACCTTTGAGTACAGCCTTATAGAGCCATAAAAAGTTTCTGTTTCCAGATTTTACTTAAAAATGAAAAAACTTGGTCACGATTATACTTCTGCTCTCGAGGTTCAGCTGTGTAATCATGTTTTCCTTCCCTATCTCCTGATGTGAACATGCTAACTATATTTGTACATTTGTAACTTACACATTCCTCTGTAGTTTTACCTGCCAGCTCCTTTGTTAGAATGTGCTGCATTATTTTTTTACTGTACATTTCTGTCTATATTTATTTAGATCTTCAAAAATGTGTCTGATTAAAGATAGTTTTTACTGTCATAAATATGATGCTTTAATTATTTTTTGTAGAAAAAAGCGTAACCAGTACAACCTCCGGTTTCACAAATGAAGCAGTTCAGATTATGCTTATAATTTGGATTGGGCCTTGTACAAAGCATTGGGATCCACAGAAAAACTGTTCATTTGTTCTAAAATCATATTGCCTCTAATCCCATTATTTTCCACAAATCTCCATGCACAAAACGATGCCCCAGTGTCATGAGGAGCTCACTTTGGTTTTAGGCCATGCCCTAGTGCATTTGTGAAACTGACTTTTTCAGTCATGTGACAGGTATGTAATGATGTTTTCCAGTGCTCTTTGTGGAATTGATTTTTTTTTTTCCTTCCCTTTCAAGGAAATCTCTTTTGGAGAAAAGCACGTTGCACAAACTCACTGCTTCTGCTTTCTTTTGTCTTTCCCGTTTTCCCTCTTCCAGACCAGGATGAGAGGGCGGCTGAGCTCAGCAGGGAGCAGAATGAGAAGACTATTCGCAGCACACAGACGGCTCTCCGCAATTTCCGAGAGTTTCTTATCTCCAAGTACCCCTCTGAGACACGGGAGATCTATGTCATTCCCTGCAAAGAGCTTGATGCCTACCTTGCTTCCTTCTTTGTGGACGCCAGACAAAAGGATGGTTCTGAATATGAGCCAAACAGCCTGGCCAACTACCAGTGTGGACTGGAGCGGTACCTCAAAGAGCACAGGTATGGATACAGTATTACAAGGGATAAAGAGTTCAAGAGGTCCCAGGAAGCTCTAAAGCAAAAGCAGATAGAGCTGAGATGTAAGGGGAAAGGAAACAAGCCACACAAATCCATGAAGCTCACCTTTGCTGATGAGCTTATCCTGCGCAAAAGAGGCTTATTGAGCCGGTACAATCCAGAAGGACTGCTGAACCTTGTCTGGCTAAACAACACTAAGGCATTTGGACACTGCACAGGCTTCCATGGGTCTACCCTGAAGTGGGGAGACATCCGGCTGCGGGTGACGGAGACTGGGTTGGAATACCTGGAGTGGATGGGGCCGGACAATGGAGACGTCAATGCCAAGAGCAAAAGGGGTGGGACAGACTCCCGGGTGTACGCCACCCAGCACTCCCCACAGACCTGCCCTGTGCAAGACTACAAGGAGTACGCCCAGAGGCGGCCTCCAGCCATGCGCTATGAGGATGCACCATTTTACCTGTCCATCAAACCCGTCGTCAACTTGGCTGCGCTTCACTGGTACAACTGCCAAGCCCTGGGGAAAAACAAGCTTGCCAAGATGGTAAAGACAATGTGTGAGAAAGGCAACATCCCCGGCCGGAAGACCAACTTCAGCGTCTACCAGAGCTGTAGCACCCTCTCAGAAGCACAGAGCAACCAGCTGGTGCTGATCTGCAATAACCTGAGCCAGCAGGCTGCGCAGTCCGTGGCAAGCCACTCCAATACTGGCAACTTCATAGTGTCAGCATCCTATGACTCCTCCTCAGACACAGCTTGAAAGAGGGACATCACCCTAACACTTCTTTCTTTTCTTTTTTGTTTCAAGCATTGAGTTTGTGCCCAATAATACACATCAACTGTGATTGTACACTATTCCCTCATAGCCCTTTCTCCAGTGTTAATTCATTTTATAAAAATATATAAATATATAATATATTTTTCTTTTTACAAATAAGTCAATAGAAATAGTTTAGTATTACTAACATAGTATTTATAGTGTTAATACAAAAATGAAAGGTACTTATGGGTTATAATATAAACACAGATTTTAAAAGGACAAAATGGTTCTCAGGCAACACAAGATAGACTGAAAATGCCATTTTTAACATGCACACATCGGTGACTGTAAAACCCCAGGGAGGCTTACACAGCAATTCTATTTTAAAGCATTTTTTGAACTTCTTATTTTAACATGACCTCCCAGAGTGGAGGAGACAAACTTACCACTGGCTGCTGCTTCTTACCTGCTGGCTTATTCTTGATCAGCAAGACCAAGAAATAAGAGATACATCCATGTAAGTCCACGAAACCATTTACATTTTTGTCTGGTTTTCGTTTTCTTTCCTGAGACTTATTTATGCTAGATGGGAAAAAAAAGCCTGAAGTCAGCTAAAGGCTATTTTTAACTTCTGTTTTTGTTGATGATTCTCTGTGATCGAAATGTTGCTGGTCTTTAGACTAAAAAGTATTGTTTTCAATTATGTGCAGCAGTATAATGGCAAAACAATTGTCATACACATAATTTAAACTGTTTAAGCATGGGTTGTTAGTACTTTGTCACTGTGCGTATATATAATGTAAAATTTAATGACTTATAGCAGCACTCTTTCATATTCTAGGGAATGCAACAGTGCAGAAAAATCCACAATCTTATCCCAAACTGTACAGAAAAAAAATGCATTAAAGACTTCTTAAGCCAGCATCTGAAGTCCACAAAAATAGCATAGAAAGTGTAATGGTAATTTCATATTTACCACTGAAAATGAAAAATCTGGATAATTTATGTGCCAGAAAACAAATTTAAGGTAGCTACACATAATCTCTTTCCATTGTAGACTGTGGAAAATGTGCGTGTGAATCTGAAGGCAGAATTTGGTCCCTAAAGTCTTGAAATAGTGAGCACTACTGTTCCAGCATTTGACTTTGCAATATATTTGTTCTTCTCCAAGTATGGAGAAAATGCTAAAAATTCAGTATTTCAGTGAACAATTGTAATTTTTGACCTTTAAGATTATGTATGGTACTTCTCAAGTAATTCAGCTTAGTTTATATTCCACTAGGATATCCTAGAGCCCTGACGAAGCTTTAGACAAGTCAGCTGGAGTGATCTAATGCCCACTGAAGTCAGTGGAAGACTCAGCTTTCCATAGTGTTAGATCTGTTACTGGGTGTTTTTTCTTTATTTCTTTACCTGCTGTGTTTCTTTATGCTTGTTCATCTTTATTCCTTCACATTCTTGCTTGTCTTTCATATTCTTTAGATCTTCAACTGTGCAGTGACTTGAATCATCACTATTTCAAAAGAAAAGGTGAAACAAATGTAGCAGATAATGAAAAATAACTCTCCTGATACCATTTAAGACCTGTTTTCTGTGTTGCTAGGATGAAATATTCCTGTGTGCAAGGGAGGTGGCCTGCACCTCACTTAAGCCTTACTGAAGGTCTGTTTTTTGGGATGGGGTAGATAGCAGATGCGTCACTAGAAGGTCTTAAGAGCAGAGATTTACACTATAATAAACATCTGTCTTCTCTGCAGCTTCCTTCATATGACAAAGCCTGGCTGTGATCTCTGTGTTCCATACACAGTAAGGCTAGTACAAAGTCTGGGTTTCCTGTGTGCTGGCTGTCCCAGGACCCTGTGTGACACAGTAGTATAAATACCAAATCTACAGCCTCTGAGTTACTGGCCACTGTATCTCAGGGCTAGGCAGTGGATAGATGGGCATAGACATTCATAGTGCAGAACCATGCTTTTGTGGCTTTGTTTTGGGCTTGAGACCAAATCATGACATTGCTGAAGTGAGTGGAAGATGTGTCTTTGATTTTCAGGGCCATGGCAAATGTGACGTGTAGGTGAAGGAGAAGGAAGCACAAAAAGACTTCAGATTCACTTAGCAAGACGGCTGCTCAGCTTCCAGGTGAGGCCAGCCATCTCATTGCTGTTTATAAAGCACTGCCTTTTCACGGCAGATACAGTTTTAATGCAGTACAGTTAAAAATAGTTTTGCAAGGCTGGTGCTGATCTCTGTGGGCTTTCTTTGCTGTTTCCCATGGAGGACTCACACAGCTGCTCTTGGTATGTGGAGTGCAGAGGATCCCATGCCAAGTAGCTACCCAGACATGCCAGGTGAAGCAGCTCCATTTCAACCATGGAACCAGCCTCTAGAAAAAATCTGGTCTCTGTTTCCCCCCTGTTGGTACTTCGCAGTGGCAGCTATTGCACGACCTGACCTACTTTCCTACCTTGCCTTTCCTGTGTGTGACATGATGCTGGGTATCAGCTGGCCTTTGTCAAGCAGCAGGTGTCTGCTTTCCACCTCTCCACCCTGCTCAACCATCCCTCTTTGCTGGGAAAAGCTGCCTTGAGCTTGTAGGGAAAAGTAGCAATGGCAAGGCATGGCTGTCTTGTGTCTCTGCAAGCCCCACGAGGCTGGAAACTAGACCTTATAACCAGATTGTTTCTCACACTATTACCAGGTTCAGAGCCTGTCAATGGTTCACATCTGATGCAGGCTAGTTAGTGTGGTAATTCCTCAATTTGTCTTGTCTCTGAGGAGGCGTATCACTGGCTGCGGGTGTGCCATGCTGCAAGTGAGTCTCTGAAGTGCTGCTTCACATCAGTGCTGTAATTCAGCCCCAGCACAGATGCTGGCTCCATTGGTAGGAGCCAAAAATGCTTACAGTGACCCAGAAGAAGGAAGACAGACACTCTTGGTTTTTGAGCTGGGAAGTCAAAAGCATTTCCCATGACTTTGTGACTCCACATTCTATCTTGAGTTGTTGTTTACCACAGTATTAGGATGGTACATGCTAATGTACAGACCATGCAGCGGGCGAGGCAATTTCTGGGATACTCTTAGCTTAGCAAGGCACATCAGCCACTTTTTCTTGTCTGGTTGGGGGATAATCTGTGGAGTATGTGAGCTTACTGTGACAGCCCCCATTTTATAGGGATTGTTTTGTTCTGCTTTGTGACATCTGTAGTAACTCCAGCTTCCAGTTGGTGCTGATGACAGATTGCCTGGCAAATCTGCCTGACGGGGCAGCCCCAAATACTTGTTGAAGTAGTTAAACACATATGGCCAGAATATGATACCCAAGTAGTATCATACTCCAAAAATAAATTCATTAGCTTCAAAGGTCTTAATCTGTGGACAGTTGGAAGGAATTGAGTGACTACAGCTCAATGAACTACCATTTGTATTAAGGCCCTGGGATGGTTGTTAACCCACTAAGGGGGAGACTTCTGATTCAGATCACTCTCATGGTTTTGTCTCATGCTGGCAGAAGAGTAGATATCCCAGTCTCTGCAGCTCAGCTCACAGGTGACAACTCAGTAGCTGTCTCCCAGTACTCCAGCTGAGGGTGTCAGACCTGCTCCACCAGCAAGTTGCAAACTCACTGTGATGGTGTGCCCCTTCACTGCATGGGAGGGACGTGGCAGTGTGGCCAAGGGCTAGCGCTGACAAATCTTACAAGCTTTCCTCTCTGCCTACAGCAAAGGATCAGGGTCTTCTACCATGGCTCTTGATATGGAAAACCTTTTCCCATTAAGTCAAAAGGGCAGATGGCAAAACACCATACTGTTCCCATCTATTACAGTCCATAAGCTGGTGGTTGGATAAGGTGGCTTACAGTGCGGCACTGTAGGTGGCTGCCTATGCTCCTGACTATACTGTGCTCTGGTGTGAAAGCTGAATTTTTCCCCATAAAAGGGCTGTGATGTCTGCAAGATGAGAGTAGCTGGCTCCAAAATGGGGCTCACTTTTCTCCTTTCTTTTTCCCTTTCTTCATCCTTGCCACTCACTTTTCTTTGATTTGGTGTTACATCTCTTCAGCAAGTTTCAACTTACTTTTTCTCACATTTCAACTTCTGCTGCTGCATTTCTGCTCAGCAGAAAAGAGACAGTATGGCAGCGTCATTAGCCTGTGACAGCTACTCAAGCCGTTTAACCCATCAAAAGGGTAAGGGAGATTGAGACCCTTCTGAATCATTTGCAGATGAATTGGTTGCCTCCAGAACCATTTACCAGCTTTTGGGAAATTGGTTCAGTGCTACCAAGAACAAAATTTGGCCTTGAACTTAAGAAAGAGGCAGCATGCCAAAGCACAGGCGTGCACACAGTCTGCGCCAATGTCAGCGCAGGCTTTCCCACGTGGCCTTCTCATGACACCAAAACAAGAGTCAGACATGGGGATAATACATGGATGTCACTGGATGGATCTGGATGCAGTGTGCATAGTACGTGCACTTGGATCTGTTTATGTGATAGCACATTTAACTGGGCAGAGCTGTGGGCACTTGGACAGCTTCAGCTGTATTGTGTTAGTCACTCATGCATGATATTGTGGGTTTGCATAGTGCACATGTATTCATGCAGGTAGTTGGAACTGAGGTCTCTGATATCTGGCTGTTGCAAACTGCCTGTTCAAATATATATTTATGCAACTAAATGTATTTTTAAGTGCAGGAGAATGAAATACTGTTGTGAACTACATTGTAAACTAAATTACAAGGGTATCTAAAATAACAGCACGTACCTTGGTCATTTGCATAGTGCAATAATTCTGTGTTAGCAGCATCCAGGCTATTGACATATATACATCATATAGGACATATAGGACAATCTAACAGTGTCCCTGTTGAACATTCTTCTTCATGAAGAATATCAACTTTTTTCAAATTGTTTTTTGTGGGTTTTTTTTTTAGAAGATGCTGTTAACTGGTATTCAGTCTACAGCATAGTTGCCCTCCTAGAAAGCTGTGTAGAGAATGAGATGCAAGCAACAGATGTTTGTGACCGGATCTTGTTCTGCTGTTTGTGCAAGCAATGTGGGGTGGATGATGGGGATCAGGAATTGACACCATTAGGTTATTGGTTCGACTCAATGATCATACAGGGTTTTTTCCAACCTAACGATTCTGTGAGTCTAAGATCAGGTGTTCTGTCACTCTAGAGCCTGGGCTGCCCTAATGACTGAAACAGCCTTAAAGTAAACCGAGATTCCTATTGCACTAGGTTTCCTCCCTCGTATTTCCCCTTTCTTGTCACCCTGTGTGAGTACATCCATAAGTGCATTGACTGACCTGATGAGCACATGGGTTGATCATTCCTTCTGACAATAAGCTGCAAGTGACTATGATTGACTGACTGGTCTTCCCCATTCCCAATATCCCTGTCCTCTCACTGTCCCTGACCCTCCAATATTTCCCTCTCCTGGTGTCTGCACCATGGGGCAGGGGGACCACTTTGAGCAGGGTGGCTCTTGGATGAGAGCTCCCTCCCTTCCTATCAAGTGACCTTGTGCTTTGGGGATAACGCGCTCAGGGCAGACTGCCTCGTGTTGGGAACACGGGGTTTGTGGGATACTGCATGTGAGCACTTTGGAGGCTCACATCTTTCCTTCTGAAAGCACTCTCCCTCTCTGTTCACTTCTACTCTTTGTGAGAAAGCTTCCAAATAGTGAAATTAGATGAAATTCACTCCTGTGTAGAGGACCAGGCCCACATCTGTGCACTGTTTGGTCTTCCACTGACATTCTTAAAATAGGACTGAGATGACTGGTCCTCAGCAGTACATAACTTTTGGGCTCACTCCATCATAGAAATCAGCTCATCTCAAGTGGTGCAACCAACAGGACATCATGACTCCCCTGATTCCCTGAACTCCCAGAGGCAGTGTGAATGTGTGGGAAGGAGAAGATCTTACAGGACACAGAAATGTCATTTGATTTGCCTGAAATGAGCCGGCTCATGCCTCTGGGTTAGAGTAGAGAACTCAGCTGTTCACTATGAAATGTGGCGGGAATGGGTCTGCATTTCTTAACAAGTGTACTTTGCTAAACATTAGTGTGAAGAGATGATTGCTTTGCTGTCCTTGTTCTTAAGAGAGAAGATGTATTTTCTTTCTGTGCATTCATATGTGTACTGAATCTGCACTCTCAGTGCTGAGGAGGAGTGTGGAGAGAAGGCATAAAGTATGGATATATTCCTAGCCAAGAAAATTGAACCATACTCTCTGGTGGTGGTCTCCATGTGCTGAGATGCGGCTTGATGGCTGGGGACAGTACCACATCAGATGATGTTTCCCGACACATCTGTTCACTCTCTGCCGAGCCAGCTTGAGTGTCACTATAGCTCTC